AGCAGAGCCCGCAGGGAGCAGTGCCCAGGCTCCAGCGCCCTTGGCTGAGTGGCAGCGCAGGAGCAGTGCCCAGGCTCCAGCGCCCTTGGCTGAGTGGCAGCGCAGGAGCAGTGCCCAGGCTCCAGCGCCCTTGGCTGAGTGGCAGCGCAGGAGCATTGCACAGGCTCCAGCGCCCTTGGCTGAGTGGCAGCGCAGGAGCAGTGCCCAGGCTCCAGCGCCCTTGGCTGAGTGGCAGCGCAGGAGCAGTGCCCAGGCTCCAGCGCCCTTGGCTGAGTGGCAGCAGAGTAACGTTGTGAGGTCAATTCAGTTGTCTCCTGTCCCACACCCCTCTTTTGTTCTTTTGCTCAAGCATACATGTGAGGGGCCTGTGCCCCTGAAATGGGGGAATGCAAGAAGTCACCAAGGTGTGACCTGAGGCTCAGTGGTAGAGCTCTGGCCTAGCAGCCACGAAGCCCTGAGTTCGATTCCTCAGCACCACCTACACAGAAAAAGTCAGAATTGGTGCTGTGACTCAAGTGGTAGAGCGCTAGTCTTGAGCTGAAGAGCTGATGGACAGGGCCCAGGCCCTGAGTTCAAGGCCCAGGACTGGCAAACAAACAAACAAAAAAACCCCCCAAAACCCTGCCCTTGAACTGGCAGGGCAAACCCAGGTTCCTGCTGCCCCCTGGAGGCCAGAAGGGAAACGGCCCGGAAACCCAGCCAGTCCCAGCCCAAGCAGGGTCTTCTTTTAGGATCACAGGGTCTTCGTGTGGCCTGGCAAAATTCATTAAAAAGTTTACTTCCTTTTCTCCAAAACTCTGATCTCGTTGTTTGTAAATTAGAGTCTAGCACCTGCAGCTGTGGCTACCTGCCGGTCAGAAAGACAGAGTGTCATACCTCCTGCGTAATGTCCTTAATCCAGAGCACCGGGTCTGCTTTCCGCAGATTTACCCCAGGCTTTACACCGGCCAGGCAGGCACTCTATAGGTCAGTCACATCTCCAGCCCTTTCTGCTTTAGTGTGTAATGGGTTCTTGCATGTGCTGGGACGCTTCAGTTCTGTGGGGCGTGGTGACTGGCAGGCCCCCAGACTCCCGGTTCTGTGGTGGAGAGGCCCAGGCTGGCCTTGTCCCACAGTCTCCCATCTCCATCTCCTGACCAGCCGAGATTACATGTGTGAGCCGCCCTGGCCAGCAGAGCATTTTAATTCAATGAAATACCAAAATGCAGGTACGCAGAGGTAAATCAGTAGCTGTGAGCACGCACACTTAAAAAGAAAAACCACCTGAAGTCAATCCCCTGCGTTTCCACCTATGACACAAGAAAAAAAAAGAAAAAGAACAAACTACATACAAAGCAAGCAAAAAAGAGAGAAATCAATGAAACTGAAGATAGGAAATCAATAGGAAGAAAGTTCCTGAACCCCCAAACTGGTTGTCTCAAAACTTAGCCCTTGACTTAGCTGTAGCCCAGCTGCTCTGGAAACAGAGGATGCAAATGACCAAGATCCCTGCTGTCCCTGGAAACTATGAGAGCAGCAAGTAAATAAATGCAGTGAACCACCAGCCCACAGGCCTGACAGCCTACAGGAATAATAAATAAATCGGGCACTGGTGGCTCACACCTGCAATCTGAGCTACTCAGGAGGCTGAGATCCAAGGATCCCAGTTTGAAATCAGCCAGGGCAGAAAAGTCCCCATGGGATTCTTATCTCCAATTAACCACTCAAAAACTGGAAGTGGAGTTGTAGCTCAAAGTAGTAGAGCACTAGCCTGGAGCACAAAGAGAATCAGGAACAGCACCCAGGCCCTGAGTTCCAGCCCCACAACCCAAAATAAGTAAGTTAAATAAATTAATAAACACAGTGAACCACCCCAGGTCCAGACTGCTGAAGCCTACAGGAAACAGGCCAATTCCACAAGAAGACATGTCTGCCAAAAGGCACACAGGGAGAAGCAGGTCATCTGAACAGATCTAAATCTATGGCACAGCATAAGTAATTGATAACCCTCCAAAATAGAACGCACAGGTCCAGAAGTGTTCTTTGCAAATTCTACCAAACACTTAAGGAAGTATAGCATTATTTATTGTCTCTTCTGGGAAACAGAAGCCAAGGAATTCCCCCTGGACTCCTTCTAGAAGGTCGCAGGATCTAATGCCAAAGCCAACTTGGGACCAGGCCCTCCCTCCCTGCCCCGCCCCTGCCCTCCCTGCTCTGGGAGGAAGCAAGGCCGCAGGCTCTGCTGGGGCAGGGAGGCTCTCTCAGGCCCTCTTCAGGCAAACTGTCCAGAGCTTCATCCCCATGGGGAAGGGGAAGGAAGGGTCCTTGTGGAGTGGGCACAAAACACCCGGGCAAGAATGGACTCACCTGGGAGGGTTCTGGTAGCAGGGACCAAGTACCACACAGAAGCACCTGTGATGATGGTAGAAGCGTCTCCAGTGTTCTCTATCATGACCCGACCGCAGGGCCGCCCTGGCTCCCAGGCCCCCGCCCCTGTGTCCCCACCCAGGCAGCATCCACACACAGGGCCCTGCAGCCGCGGGGTCCTCTGAGTCGCAAACCCCACGGCCTGCCAGGCCAGCATTCAGACCAGGAGGAGAATTCTTAGTGGTTTCTCATCTCCCCATGGGGTGGGGGCCCCTGGGAAACCCTGGGAGCTTCCTCCTGGTTATAGTCCTGGAAGGAGGGCAGCTCCGATCTCCCATGTGGCCAGCAGGTGGCAGTGCCGTACCATCTGGAGGCCCCATGCCGGGCCAGCCCCCAGCCCTTTGCAGCTGGCTTTGGTCAAAGGGCCTTTCTTTGTTGTTGTTGTTTTGCCAGTCCAGGGCCTTGAACTCAGGGCCTGGGCTCTGTCCTTGAGATTCTTTTGCTCAAGGCTAGCACTCTGCCACATGAGCCACAGCGCCACTTCAGTATAAGTGATTCTGAGGAATGGAACCCAGGGATTCAGGCATGCTATGTAAACACTCCTTCACGGAGCCACTTCCCCGCCCCCACGACTCACGACTCGGAAGAGTCTTGATCAACTAGCCCAGAGCTCCACTCATGGCTTGAGAATAGAGGACCACAGAGCCAGGCCCAGGCACAGAGACCTCCAGCTCTGACAAATCCTGATGGTTGCCAATGGCAGCCATGGCTAGAAAATGAATATGGACGGGGATGTCAAAGCCCACATCATGATCTCTGCAGTGCTGACCGCTGTGTTACCACTGACCTCGACCTGAACACCAAGAACTGACCACTGACCTCCACCTGAACACTACATCACCACTGACCTCCACCTGAACACTGTACCTTACCAGTAGGACATCTCCACCCACCCCCTACCCCTGTGTCTGGCCCAGCAGCTCCTGTTCCCTGCCCCCAGGCTAGTTTCGGACTATGAGCACCCGGCCTTGGGGTCCCTGTGGAATCCACTTCGTCTCACGTGGGTGTTTCTGCTGTCAGGCCCCTGGCACCCCTGAAGGCTCGGGGCCCCCATGGGAGTCCCAACCCTTGAGCACATGCATCTCAATGGCTAGGGGGTCTTGGTGGTTCCCTGAAGGCCAAATGCCCACCAAGGCACACAGCTCCCCCTTCCCAGGGACTCACGCTTCCCACGGACTCCCCCTCTTCCCAGGGACTCCCCCTTCCCACGGGCTTCCTCTCCCCAGGGACTCCCCCTTCCCACGGACTCCCCCTTCCCACGGGTTCCCACTTCCTACCAGGACCGAGGCATGGTGCTCCAGAGTGCGGCACCTTCCAGGGCCTCTGCCCTGAGCGCTCGGTGACCGCAGGCAGGGGGTGGGGGTGGGGAGCCACTCAAGCACCAAACTTCCCCATATGGACCTAAGGAACTCGGCCTGGCCTCATCCACAGGCACCGCACTTGGAGCGGTGGGGGTGGCCCGTAGTCCTGCCTCTGGGTCCCCTCCCTGTCCCCTTTCCCCGTCTCCTCCCCCATCCACCCTCCCCCGCCCCTCCCCCAGGCCCCTACTCCGACCCTTCCCGTCCCTCTTCCGGCCCCTCCTCTGTTCCTCTCCCATCGCCTCCTCCATCCCCTCCCCGGCCCCTTCCCAGCCCCTTCCCCATCCCCCTGGATTGGACCAAGCTGTTTAAAACCAATGCTGGGCTGCAGGAGTCAGAGCCCGGTGAGGAGGGAGGGAGGAGGGGAGGAGGAGGGAGGAGGGGAGAAGGAGGGAGGGGGAAAGGGGAGGGGAGGGAGAAGGGGAGGAGTAGGTGGGGAGGAGGGAGGAAGGGGGAAAGGAGGAAGGGAGTAGGAGGGGAGGAGAGGAGGGGAGGAGGAGGAGGGAGAGAGAAGGGGAAGAGGAGGGGGAGGAGATGGGAAGAGAAGGGAGGGAGAAGGGGAGGGGAGGAGGTGAAGAGGAGGGAGAGGGGGAGGGAGGGAGAAGGGGAAGGAGTAGGAGGGAAAGAGAAGAGGAGGAGAGGAGGGAGAAAGAGGAGGAGGGGAGGGAGGAGGAGGAAGGGAAGAGGAGGGGAGGAGGGAGAAAGAGGAGGAGGGGAGGGAGGAGGAGGGAGAGAGAAGGGGAGGAAGAGGGAGAGAGGAGACCGGAAGAGAAGGGAGGGAGAAGGGGAGGGGAGGAGGTGAAGAGGAGGGAGAAGGGGGTGAGGGAGAATGGGAAGGGAGTAGGAGGGAAAGGGAAGAGGAGTAGAGGAGGGAGAAAGAGGAGGAGGGGAGGGAGAAAGAGGGAAAGAGGAGGGGAGGGAGGAGGAGGGGAAGGAGGAGGAAGAGGGGAGGAGAAGGGGAGGGAGGAGGAAGAGGGGAGGAGAAGGGGAGGGAGAAGGAAGAGGGAGGAGGAGGGGAGGGAGGAGAAGAGGGAGGAGGAGGGGAGGGAGGAGAAGAGGGAGGAGGAGGGGAGGGGAGCAGGAGGGGAGGAGGAGGGGAGGGGAGCAGGAGGGGAGGAGGCGGAGAGGAGGCGGACGGGGCGGAGGCCCGGGTCTGGCGGGCGGCCCTCCCGGCTGGACCGGCGCGGAGGAGCGGCGGGCTCCGGGCTGGGCGGCCGCGGGCTGGGGCTCGGGGCCATGGCGGAGCTCGGGCCGCTGTCGGGGGACGCGTACCTGGCCCCGGGCCGCGGCTACGCGACGGCGGCGGGGCTGGCGTTCGGGGCGGCGCGGGGGCCCGAGGCGGCCCGCGGCTACGGCGCGCCGGGGGCGGGCGGCGAGCTGGCGGCGGGGCCGGCGGCGGCGGCGGCCGAGAGCAGCGGCGAGCCGAGCGGCGACGAGGACGACGGCGGCGGGCGGCGGCGGCGGGGGCGGCGCGGGGCGGCGGCGGCGCGGCGGCGGCCGCGGGAGCCGCGCTCGCTGCGGCTGAGCATCAACGCGCGGGAGCGGCGGCGCATGCACGACCTGAACGACGCGCTGGACGGGCTGCGCGCCGTGATCCCCTACGCGCACAGCCCGTCGGTGCGCAAGCTCTCCAAGATCGCCACGCTGCTGCTCGCCAAGAACTACATCCTCATGCAGGCGCAGGCGCTGGACGAGATGCGGCGCCTGGTGGCCCTGCTCCACCGGGGCGCGGGCCTGCCGCCGCCCGCGCCCGCCGCGCCGCCGCCGCCCTTCGGCCAGGCCGCCCTGTGCCCCTTCCCGGCGGGCGCCGCCCTCGCGCCCTGCGCGGACAAGTGCGCCGCCTTCCCGGGCTCGGCGCTGTGCAAGCGCTGCGCCGCCGACGAGCCGTGACGGGCCGGGGCCGGGGCCGGGGCCGCCCTCCGGGAACGCGGGGACCCGAGCCCGTCCCGGGCCGCCCGCCGGGAACGCGGGGACCCGAGCCCGTCCCGGGCCGCCCGCCCGCCAGCCTGCCCGCCGGGAACGCGGGGACGCGATCCCGTCCCGGGCCGCCCGCCCGCCAGCCTGCCCTCCGGGAACGCAGGGACCCGAGCCCGTCCCGGGGCCGCCCGCTGGGAACGCGGGGACCCGAGCCCGTCCCGGGCCGCCCTCCGGGAACGCAGGGACCCGAGCCCGTCCCGGGGCCGCCCGCTGGGAACGCGGGGACCCGAGCCCGTCCCGGGCCGCCCGCCCTCCGGGAACGCGGGGCCCCCCCGAGCCCGCTTCCCGTCCGCGCGCGCGCAGCTGCGAGTTCGGAAGCGCGCAGCCCGCGGCACGGGCGGCTCTGCGGGCGGCACGGGCGGCTCTGCGGGCGGCACGGGCGGCTCTGTGCGGGCGCCCGGGAGGTGGCGAGCCCCGGGGAGCGCGAGGGCGCCGGGCGGGGCGAGGCCCGCACCGGGCTCCTTTTCCGGACCAAACCGCAGGGCCGCTCCCCCGACCCCGCGCCGCCCGCCCTGCGGAGGAGTGGGCAGCAGGGCCCGAAGACCCGGGGCGACCAGGCTCCAGCATTTTCCGCGTCGGAAGGCTCGGTTTGCTTCTTGACTGCCCGCCCGGGCGCCGTGGGATTCCCCCGCCCCGGGGCCCGCGCCCCCAGCCCGGCCTCCTCTCCCCGCTTCGGGCGCCCGCCGAGGGGGCCGCACGGAGGACGGCCCCGCAGCCTGCGCCCCCACCTGACCTGGAGGGCCACAGAGCGCCCCAGCGCGGCCCCGGAGCCCGCGAACCCGCCGGCCCGGCGTCCTCCGCCTGACCCCGCGCCGTCCTCCAGGCTGGGCGGACCGGACGGCGCCGCCCGCCGCCTGCGGGGAGCGCGGAGATCGGAGGATCCTTCGTGCGCACACCGGAGCGCGGGCCGGAGCCTTCGTGCGCACACGGGAGCGCGGGCCGGAGCCTTCGTGCGCACACCGGAGCGCGGCCCGGAGCCTTCGTGCGCACACCGGAGCGCGGGCCGGCTCTCCGCGAGCTCGCGCGCCCTGCGGGTTTCTGCTGCGTCCGTTCTACTCTCTTCCAAGTCCAGACTTGTTGATTACTTCTGAGCCCTCCGAAGGCTGGGGCCTGGGCCTGGCGGCGCTTTCCCAGCCCCGGTGGAGGAATCGCAGCAGAACCGGAAAGCCGCCTTTCTTTCCCTCCTGGGGAGTCTACTTTATAAACTACTTACCATCGTCATTTGACACAGAGACCGTGTTTCTTAATTAAGACCTGAGGTGTGTGAGTCATCATGATGCACAGGGTAACGTATTTGATTTAAGCTTATTTTGCGAAGGTAATGTGATTAAATGTGAACGTCACACCAAACTGTGTCCAATTCATTCATCATTTCAATCTTGGGACGCCCGCTCTCGGGTCCAAAAAGTCTCTGAACTGCCCAGCTGGACCCACTCCAGCCACCACTGGCCACAAATAGAGAAAATCACAACAGAAAGGTGAAGGAAAAAATACCTCGCCCCTTTAGGCGAAACACTAGTTTACCAATCAAAGTTTTCTGTAATTGCTTCAGGTTCAGGTTAAGTGAAAACACATTACGTTGGGAAGCTGTTTCTCTGCTGCTCTTCAGAGCAGCACCAAGCCCTTCCCTGAGGTTGAGCCTGGGCAGACGGGGTGCTTGGCAGAGTGGATCCCCTGAGGTTGAGCCTGGGCAGATGGGTGCTTGGCAGAGTGGATCCCCTGAGGTTGAGCCTGGGCAGACGGGGTGCTTGGCAGAGTGGATCCTGGCGTTGCTGAAGGCACTGACTAGGAGTTCTCTGCACTGTCATCCAAGGACGCCCACTGATCACACAAACACCACAAGTTGGCGCTTCTTCTACGGTCCCCTTCCATGGCCTGTGTGCCCAACAGCAACACTTTCCTAGCCCAGTGCGGGAGGGGGGAGGGGAGGGCTGGGGCTCTCTGGAAGCTCCAAGACCGGCACATCCCTGTGCCCTTCCAGCCACAATAGCCCATACTGAGAGAACACGGGTCATGTGTAAGATTGATGTTTTCTGGTGGCCACATTTTAAAACATCTCCATGTAGTGCATTGTTAAGTTATTAATGAACTCTTACCTTTACCTTTGGGGTAATAAGTCTTCAAATCACAGCCATGTGTGCATTGCTCAGTGGCCACGTGTGGTTGGGTACCACTGTGGCAGGTGTGAGGCTTGGGATCACCCATGTTCCAAGCACCCAGGGTGCCCTTTGCACCCTCAGTTTAATAATAACCAGGAAATGTCCAACTACCCAGAGAATGCGTTCTACAGCCAAATCCTCAGTGTCCGGTCTTTATTTCTCTGCAAACCCTGACTGAATCTTCTTTCAGTGCCGAGAGGCCTGGTGCAGGCGGCCAGAAGTGGCGCTGTCCACTCCCTGCCTTCAAAAAGAGGCGGTGCTGGTGACCAGACGCCCTCCAGGTCCCGGTCCCTGCGCTCTCCCGCTCCCCTGGCCATCAGCCCAAGCCTGGGGAGCCACAGGGTTGGGAGGTAGGAGAGAGCTGAAACCTGAGCAAGACCCTGAGCTGGATGGCCCTGGATCCCCTCCCCCACCCACACCCTGAGCTGGATGGCCTGGATCCCCTCCCCCACCCACACCCTGAGCCGGATGACCCTGGTTCCCCTCCCCCACCTACACGGGGTTAGTCTTGGGGCAGCACCAACCCTCCCCTGCAGACCACACGAGCAAAGGCTGCGCCTGCTGCTTAAGCAACTGGCAAAACCCAGACATGGTAAAACTCAGGTCATGAGCCCCTGGTGTGGCTTGTCAGTGAAGCATAGCTTGTGTGGGCTCGCGCAAGCTTCCCCAGACCAGCAGCTCCCAGGGCTGTAGTGTGGGTCATGACAGGTGGCTGTCCTGCCAGGCCCTGTAGACTCTATTTTCTGACTGTCATGTCTGTGCCCAGATGCCTGCCGCTAGCCTGCCTGCTCCCCCCCGCCCCCCGGCACCTGCCAGCCCACCAGTGGGAAATAGGACGCTGCATGAAGGCAGGAGAGAGAAGAGCCCTGTACAGCTTCCCCTGCCTTCTTTCCTTAAAAACATCGGGACTACAGACAGATCGTTCTTCCGGCTTTGGTGCCTCTGACCTACGGAAGCAAGTGACCCTGGGCCGGCTGCAGTGTCTCCACACTGGGCTGCTGGATGCGGTTCCCCTCAGCGGCCAGCTCAGTCCTCGAAGGCACCTAAAGACTTCACAGTCCAAGTCCAACCCTGGAAGAATCACAGCGTTGCAGATCCAGGCAGGAGGCACCCACCACCCAGGGCAGAATGAGACCTCCCCGCCCACCTCCCACCCCAGAGTCCGGACCTCGCACACCTCCCCCAGCCACCCCTCCTAGAGTCTCTACTACGCAGGCTGCTGCGCTCTGCGGCTAAGTTCATCCCAGATAGAATCTTCCCGCATTTTGCACAGATGTGTCACTGGAGAACCTGTGTCACTTGTGGTTGAGCTAACGAGCCCACACGAATGTGGCTCTGCCTAAAGGACACACCTAGAAAGGTGGGTGAAAGGCACAGACCTCAGCCCAGCCCCAAAGCCCCTCTGGCTGCACGGTGCTAAAGGAGAGGCCTCTAGAAGCCAGCAGCTCCTAAACCCTGCTTAATCCAGTGGAGAACAATGACCGCAATTTTGTAATGTAGATTTGTTTGGGCTCGGTGGTTAGTCTTTATTTGCTTTGGGCGTCCCATTTGAAGGGCTGGAGATGGAGGGATTTGTGCCGTATTAAACCGTGACTCCAACAATTGCCTTCTTGGACTTATAACCCTGGCTGCTGTGTTCCAATATCCTCAATGAAAGTCTGTTCTGTAAGATTAGGAAGTTAACGCACATCTGTCAAGTTAACCCAGAGAAGCGAAGCCGGTGAGCGCCGGGAGGTTCACGTGGTTAGCATTGGCCTTTACAGCCAGTGACCACCCTGCAGTAAAAGCGGTTGTGCTGGGTCCCTTCCAGTTGGGACAGCCTGTGACCTTTCGTGGAAAGGCAGATCGTGATGGCAGCTGGGGGGGGGGGGGGGAGAGATGTCTACACAGAGCGGCCTTGCCCACTCCCCGTTCTCTGCCGGTATCCACGCGGGATGCACAGGCCAGCCGCCTCTGTGGCTTTACGCATCCGCAGTCTGCATTTCCAAACAGCATAGCTGTCACAGCGCAGCACGGGCCTCCAGTCCCCCCTGCTCAGGCTGCTTGGCACATCTGCCCCACCTTGGCCACTGCGGCTGCCAGTGAGGAGGTGAGGGTTCCCAGGAGTCACCCCGTGCCTCCCACAGTCCCCGGCCCCTCCCAACCAGCCTCCCTCCTAGGCCACGTCCCACATGGTCCACAGCAATGAGCCTGTGGTGGTCGCCCTCCCAGCACCCCGATTCAGGTGGTGTGAGGCTGCTGTCCCTGCTTCCACACCATGGGCCTTGTCCCCCAGAGCCCTGGGCCATCCACAGGACTCGGCTGTCTCCCCAAGGCCACGGGCACCTGGCAGGACGCACGCCTGCCGGGCTCTCTTTGGTGTGTCCTGCTTTCTGCCACAGATGACTGCAACCTGGAAGCAGTGTCTGTGTGCCGCTCAGTCACATTCCCTGCACACACTGGGGTGGCGGGTTCTCAGCGGCCTCGGCCCCACCACTGAGGGTCAGAGGCAACCTGGGGGTGTGGCCGGGCCTTGCGATGCCTGGCAAGGTGCGGGTGGAAGACCAGGCCCCGTGACCGTGGGTTGACCCACGCAGCCTGCCGGCACGGGACTCACCACTCCCTGCCGGGGGAGAAGAGCCAGGAGCACTAGTCCCTGGGATCAGAGATCTGCCAGGCGAGCCGACAGCCAGGCCTGTGGCCTTCCTCCCCACAGCATGGGGCTCCCAGCATATATTCCACGGGGTCTGTGGTGTCTGTGGAAAATGCCTTGAA